GAGAGAGAGAGAGAGAGAGAGAGAGAGAGAGAGAGAGAGAGAGAGAGCCAGAGAGCCAGAATCACAGAGAAAGAAAGACAGAGAGACAGAGTCCTGCCCGCCCCCCTCCTCTGGACTTCTCCCTCCCATTCCATCTTTGGACCACGTGGCTTCTAGAAGACCGGGGCCCAGAACAGAGAAGGCTTTCATGCCCTGGGGTACTTCCTTCTCCAGGCAAGGCTAAACTGAGGAGGGTTAAGCGCCACCCCCCAGGGGAACCCTATAAAGGCTGCAGAGGGGCTGGACTTTCTAGGAGACTGAGATTTCCGGCCCACAGCAGCTCCAGGTACTGAGACTGGGGGCCAAGGGGAGAGCCAGACAGACAAGGACAGAGAGAGAAGGGAGACCGAGAGGGAGAGAGGGAAGGAAGGAAGGAGGGACAGAAACTGAGACTGCTCCAGGGCCAGAAGGACTGAAAGGTGTTCGGGCTGACTGAGAGACAAGAGATGGGGAGGGAGTGAGGAAGGGCAGAGAGACCCACCTGCGGACAGGTGAGCATTTCTGGGCCTGTGGGATGGTCCCAGAGGGGACTGGCCAGTGCCCTCCCACCTGATCCAACTTCTGTGGAAGCCCGGGATGGCGGTTTCACTTTCTGTTTGGGATCCTCAGTGCTCCACGCACAGAAGTCAGCCGTGGGGAGGGGGCTTGGGAAGAGGGGCAGGGAAAGGAGTGGGGTCCCTGCTGCTCCCTGGTTGGCTGTATGACCTTGGGCAAATGTCTTCTGCTCTCTGGACTGCCTCAGTTTCTCCTTTGCAAAGATGTCCATGCTAAAGCTGTGACGCACACACTCCGTGGTGGGATGGCTGTGTTTACCGAATGCCCTGACCACGCACCCCACGTGAAGTGTGCACACACACAGGAGGACATAGATGCCTGGGTTTGCACACGCAGTTAAACAGCCCCTGATGGAGGCAGCTCCGCGGCAGCCCTTCCTGCCCTGGACCCTGGCTCTGCCCTCCTTCTCTAGGACACCTCTCATGCACCCCGAGCCTTTTCTTTTCCAAGCTGAAGGGGCCCTTCTCTCCACTGATCCCTCTTATATAACACGGCCCCCAGGCCCTTCTCTGTCCTGCTGGGCCTCCTCTGGACTCTCTCCACCTTATCAATGACCTTCTTAAACTGTCATGGCCAGAGCTCAGCACGGTCCCCCAGCCGAAGTCTGCCCAGGACACAGGACAGAAGAGAGAACACCGAGTCTGACTCACTGAATAGGAGTGAAAGCTGTGGCGCTGCCCCCTTCCTCTCTCTGGACCTTCTCAGTCCCATCAGCAAGAGTGGTCCCCACTGTTCTCACCTCCCTGCCCCTCCACCCTCTACCCCTTAATGTGGCTTTGTAGGCTCCCAGGGCAGTCCTAATCTGGAAGAACGGTTTAAACTGGGGACCTCTGCGAGGCATCAATCCTGCGTGCCACTCCTCACCACCACACCCCGGACCGCGTACTGAACAGACAATGGCTTTGGAGGCTAAGAGGTAAGAGGCTCCATTGGTCAGACCCTCAGCTCCCCCTCCATGTGGCGGCCCAGCCCCTTGATCCAGTGACTCCAACGCCCATTCCCGCAGGGGACCTCAGCGAGTACTCTTTGGTGAATGGCTTCTGGGGGAGGTCAGCAGCGGGCACTACGAGGGACTGCGCTGGCTGGACGACACCCGCTTCCGGGTGCCCTGGAAACACCTGTCCCGGAAGAACATCAGCGAGGATGATGCAAGCATCTTCAAGGTGGGGATCCTGGCGCTGGGGCGGGGCCTGTGCCCAGGGTGGTGCTTTGCTCATGGTTGCTGCCCTTCTCCCTGGCAGGCCTGGGCCATTGCGCGAGGTCGGTGGCGGCCTGACCCTGAGGGTGGTAGCTCCCAGCCCCCAGAGGCCTCAGAGCGAACCCACTGGAAGACCAACTTCCGATGTGCCCTGAAGAGCACCCAGCTGTTCACGCTGGTGGAGGACAGGTCCTGGGATGAGCACGACCCACACAAGGTGTTCACACTCAGCCGGCCCCGGCCCAGGGCAGCAGGTAGGCAGGGGCCCCCAGCAGAGCCCTGCAGGCTATTCTGGGAGGGAGCTGTTTGGTGTTCACTCAATCGTCTCGCCCTCTAGGAGTCGACAGGACTGCTGGGGAGGAGCAGCCCGCAGACCTCGGTTCCTTAGGAGCCAAGGGGGACGGCCCAATGACAAAGGTTCGAGGGAGAAGAGATGCTGACAGCGTGGGGGAGGATCCAGGAGGCCAGAGGAAGGGTGCCCAACTCCTTGTGGGCAGTGTCCTGGTCCCTGACCTCTCCCCTGCCCCGTGTCCTCATCCCCCACCCCCCTCACCTGGCATCGCGCCACCTCACCGCTGACAATGTCTCCTTCCAGCTGCAGGCCGGGCTCCAGGTCCTCTCCCTGGGTGGACAGGCTACCGGTGAGGGACGAGGGACGGGGTGGGGGTGGGGGGGTGGGGCTCAGGCTGCTGAGTCCTGGCCCTGCTCTCTGAGCTGTGGCCTCTTGAACCCCAGATGTTTCTGGTCCTGACCTTCTCCAACTGGCCCTGGAGCAGAGTGAGCTGGAGGGCCTGGCAGAGGCCACTGAATATTTCCAGGGTGAGGTCCTGCCCATGAGGGGAGGGGAGGAGGGGGCAGACCTGCCCTTGGCCTCAGAGAGGTCACGGTGTGGGGCAGCCCTAGTAATTCGGAGGAAGTCAGCAGGGGTGGCTCCATGGGAAGGTGGTGCATAAGCTGGACCCCAAAGACCAATGCATGTTCTGGGGCCTGGGAGGGCAAGTGGGAATTGTGGCTGAGCCTGGCGATACCAAGGAGCCCTGGGATGTACTGGGCATGAAAGCGACATGGCCATGCCTGTGAGAAGGGGAGGCAGAGTCCACCGATGTGCTCCGGGAGAGGGGATGAGGGCTCGAGCTGGGGTGGGGATAAGGGGTCCAATGGGAGCTAGATTTGTGGGATGAGCATGACCCTGAGGTGACAGGCCCCTGTCTGAGGAAGAAGGAGGGGCTGGTTCACAGTCCCCCCGCTGGCAAGGGTCAGAGGCAGGATTTGAACTCGGGCCTTCTGGCTCCTCAGAAGGGAGTTGGTAACAGAGATCACAGCAGGGGCAGAGGCTGGGAGTCACCAGTGTGATGGCTCAGGATGATTGAACCCACAGGAGCCAAAGAGAAACAAGACAGAGCCCCAGACAGCGACCTGGACGGGCCCCTTCTGGACAAAGCATCCGGAGGGCCGGAGAGGACAGTTCTGCCAAAGAAGCCAATGAGTGAAGGGACAGTGGGGCAGCCTGTGCTCACACAGGGTCAGGGCCTGAAGGAGAAGGGTAGCCACACCTCAGGCAAGGCAGGGAGGCGACCTGACCCCTTCCCCCTTCCTCCCCTCACCAGACATCAATTCAGAGCTCTGGAGAGAGCCCGAGGGCCCGTATTCCCGGTGGACAGAGACCCTCCCCAGTGAACCCTGGGAGGCCCAGCCAGGGCCCGTGTCATCTCTCAGAGGCCCTAGTGAGTAAGATCCAGGAAGCCTGGCATGTGGGGGGCACATGGGGACATGGAGAGGGACAGCCAGGTGGCCCTGTCCTTGCTCCCCCAACTACGAAACCTCAGCCGAGACCATTCCTGCCTCCCAGGCAAAGAGCCCGCTCCCTGTCTCCATGAAGCTGGCCACCCTCAGGACGGAGCCTTCTGTCCAGCCCCCCAGCTCCCCCTGAGCAGTGAGTAAGGGGTATGTGTTTGGGCTTGGGGTGGTGCTTGGGACACAGATCTCACTCGGGGCTCCTTCATCCCTCCCCAGGTTCCCTCCCTACTGGCTTAGATGTGACAATCCTCTACAAGGGTCAGACGGTGAGGCAGGTGGCTGTGGTCCAGACCCCCTGCCTCTTCGTGGCCAGCAGCCCTGGCCTGGTGTCGGGGGTCTCCCAGGACCACCAGCTTGTGGCTTTCCCCAGCCCAGCAGCCCTGGAGCTGGCAGACCAGAAGCAAGTGCACTATACCGAGCAGCTGATGCAGCACATAGGGCCGGGGCTGCAGCTGCAGCTTTGGGACCAGAGCCTCTGGGCCAAGAGAATGGGCAAGTGCAAAGTGTACTGGGAGCTGAGCAGCCTCCTGGCATCCTCGGGGACTCCACCCCCACCCCGACTGCTTCCCAGGAACGAGGCCAGGCCCATCTTTGACTTCTCCGTCTTCCGCCAGGGTCAGTGCTCATGCCTGGGTTCTCTGGTCCCCTGCCTCCCTCCTGTCCACCCCTGGCCCAGGTGCCCAGCCCCCATGGGTCCTCCTCCTTTGGTGTCCTCCCTCCCCGTCCCGGCAGGCAGGGCTGTCCTGGCTCAAAGCCTATTTCTTCTAGAACTGGCCGAGTACAGGGATCAGAGGAGACGCACCTCTCCTGACTACACTATCTACTTGGGCTTTGGCCAGACTCTCTCTAGGAGGCCCATGGAGAAGAACCTCATCTTGGTGAAGGTAAGGAGGGCACAGGCCCGGCTAGCTGCATGAGGCTGGTAACTCGGAACCTCCCCCAACCGGTGAGCAAGGAGCAGCCGTCCCCATGAACAGCTCGTGGGGACAACTGGCTCCTCCTCCCCCCAGGTAGTGCCCCGAATCTGCCAGCTCTGCCATGAAGCCGTCCAACGGCAGGAAGGCATCTCCTCCCTGGACAGCGGCGGCCTCAGCCTGCAGGTCTCCAACAGCCTCAGCCTCTATGAAGTGCTGGAAAACTTCCTCATGGAGACAGAATACCCTGCCTAGACCTGGGGCCCTCTGGAAAAAACCCCTTCCCCCTGGGGAAAAAAGCCACGTGGAGACAGTGTATCCAGGCACCGTCTGACCTTCAGTGCCCCAAAACTGGGAGCTGTGGGTCAGTACTTGGGATGGCCAGTCCGGCTCACCTCTCCTTCCTACTCAAGCACGCATCTAGTCATCTCACTTTTTAGCAAAGTCACCGTGGCTCCCCATCGCCTCTTGGAAAAAATAAAGAAAACCCAGTTGGGTTCCACCTTTCCAGTTGTGCTGTGTTCCCCCCTTTCCCAGGTGCCCCCCACGGCCTCTCCCCTTCTGTCCCCTCTGCACTCTCGCAGGCTCTTCAACAACAGGGCGAGATTTGTTTTACCTGGCTGCTACAAAGCAGCTGTGCCAGGGAACGTGCTGTACCTTCCTCCTCTGCCCCCAGAACGCTGAGCCCCTCTGCCTGGTCTGGGGAGCCTCTGAACCCACCTCCACATCCCATCTCTCCACTCCTCGGGTCACCTGCACCTCATCTCTGTTCCAGTTATGATGGATGCTATTTGCTCAAAGATGTCTCTGGCTCCTTTGATTTCCCACCACTCTTGGCTGTGGACAGAGGGGCTCTGCAGCTGACGGTCTGGCAGCCACTGCTGGACCAGGAGGCCCAAAGCCCTCTGGCTGGGTCTAGAGCCCAGGCGAGGTCCCTGCCTGAGCCCGCTGCCGGGGCCCCGCCTCCCCTCTCCTCGGCAAGAAGAAAGACAGAACAATCCAAATGCTTTAAAGCCACCAAACTCTACTCAAAAAATACAAAATGTTCTCAACAGACGTTAGCCGCACATGCGGCCCGTGTGGTGCTCTCGGAGGAGCCGGGGAAAGGACGGACGTTCCCCCCGCACTCCTGCTTTTTCCTTGGGAAAGGCGGCCCCCGATTCACCGACAGGAAACGTAATCGGAACAAGACGACAACTCCTACACGGGGTGTGGGACGGCGGGGGTGAGCCAGCCCTTCCTGACGTCCGGCATCCACTCCTCATGGACCGGCTCAAGGCTTCCCATTTCAAGTATTAAATCGATTCAGAGGTTTCTAAAGACAATCCATGTTTCGATAAATTAGAACACAATGAAAACAGAGTGTCTATAGAATATATAGTTACTGTGTGTGTGTATATATATATATATATGTATATATATATAAAAGATAGGCTGTCCCCTTTGACACTGGGGCCAAGGAACCCCGAAGACCGCAGCGGTGGTTTCATCAGCCCGGAGTTTCATGTTGGTCACTGCGGGTGCCCGCCCGTCCAGTCCCGTCCAGTCCCGTCCCGTTCCGTCCCATCTGCGGCAGCCAGGCCTGCGGCCGGGGCGGGGTCAGTCCTCGGCTTCGTGGGGCTCCTCCTCGGGCTCGGCTGTCTTCTTGTGTTTCCTCATGTGTCTGTATTTCTCCACGTAGGCCTTGACCAGGTTCGCCACCTTCATGGGGTTGATCTCCCCGCTTTTGCTGTGACAGATCTGGGGGGAACCGCCCCAGGGCTGGCGGTCAGCTCAGCTCAGCCCAGCCCGCCCGCGTGGCCCGCCCCTTGGGCCGCCCTCCTCCCCCTCCATCACCTTCTGCACAGCTTTGCGAAGGATGTCCTTGTACTCGTCCTTGGTGATCTCGCGCTTCTGGTAGAAGGGTTTGATGGCCAGTTTCACCTCCTCCACAGCCCGCTCCTGCACGTGCAGCTTCTTCATGTACTGCAGGACCACGCAGACCGTGGGCATGGCTGGCGAGGGGGCCCCTCCCTGATGCTGCCCAGCCCTGCCCGGCCCCCTGACTCACCTCTTCATTTTTTGTCTTCTCACCCGCCGGCTTGGGCGTCGTCTTCTCGTCCCCATCTCCCAAGGCCAGCGCCTGGCCGCCTGGCTCAGAGACTGCAGCCAGCATGGACGGCTCTGGGGTCAGGCTCTGTCCTGTCCCGCAGCCCGCGAGGGGCAGGCTGCCCTGCATGATAAACTGGACGGTGGGCTGGCTGACGGGGGCGTAGGGCGGCACACTCGGGGGCAGAGTCGGGGTCAGAGGCATGGTGGGGCTGTAAACCTGCACAGACATCCCCCCCACCCCTCTGCCAGTCAGAACATGCATTCTCAGTTTACCCAACTGCCCTGCCCTGCTTGGCCCAGTGCCCCCCAGATCCCAGAGGAGCCGAGCTCCTCGCCAGGCCCGGCATGCCGACAATGAGATGAGCGCCGCTCCCGGGGTGGAATGGGCAGTGCGTGAGATGGGCGGCTCTGGAGGATGGAGTGGGACGCGGCCCGCAGCCCTTCCCCAGAGAGAACACCAACCTGAGAGCAACCTAGGTCAGGAAACATGGGCTCAGCGACCATGTAATTGGTGGGAGGAGGCTCACGGGACTGCACCTGATTTAGGCTGGGGTTCGACTCCTCAGCTTTCCAGGCCCCTTCCAGGGATCTCGGTAGCTTGTAGAACGGTGCCCCTGGAAAGAGAAGCCGGGGGCCTGCAGTCCAGAAGACCCGGGCAAAGCCCCGCCTCACAGCCCCCAGCTCCCAGGGAGGACCCGACAGCCTGGGAATCGTCCCGGGCCCCCCTCCTCAGGTCACAGTAACCCCAGAGTTTCCCATCAGTTCAGGGTGGTGGGGGTGAGAGGCTGTCACGGCCGCCACAGGCCACTCAGCTCTCCTGTGGAAGAGTGAGGGAGGCTGGCTGCGGCGACGTGGTCACCGAGCGTGAAGGAGAAGGGGGAGGACGGGAGGCGGCTCAAACATCAGGGCCAGGGTCCCTGAGGAGGACAAGGAGGGACAGAGTGGGGCCGGACATGGGCACGAATGCCCACCTCGGCGCCCAGCCCGGCCCTAACCCCACGAGCCTCCTTACTTGGCTCGGGCCCGGGGCCCGCCACGCTGTCCTCTTCCTCCTGGAGGTTCCATGTCACCCTCTTCACCAAAGCTTTTGATTTCAGCAAGGGGGTTTGGGAAACAGCTTCCATCTCCGACTGCACAGCCTCACTGGCCTCTTCACTGACCACAGGGCCCTCTTCTTCTTCCACTGTCATCACCTCCCCAACCTGGTTCTCGGGGGCGCCCTGGGAGGAAGGGGCCTCGCCCGGGGGGTCCTCTGGGGGGGCCTCACATTTGCCTGCAGCGACTGCCCCGAGGCTCAGACTGCACTGGCCGCTTCCTACAGGCAGAGCTGGGGGGAGCAGAAGGCCCCTCTCTGGGGATGAGTCTGTGCTTTCTGGGGAAGGGGGAGAGCTCATGTCATCCAGCTGAATGAAGACCGCGTCACTGGAGAAGTCGTCAAAGACATGCTCTGCCTCCACCGTCTCCCCGTAGTCGAGGTCATCAGCAGCGACCTCTTCAGGCACCTCAGGTTGAGCTGGGCCTTCGGCCATCGTCTCTTCTGTGGCCGGGGGGGCCTGTGGCCCATCGACCTGGCTGGGACCGGCCTGGCCTGGGGCTGGGAGGTTGGGGGGAGTGCTCTCCTCCGCTGCCTTGACCTCCTTCTCCTGCGGGGGTGATGGAGACACGTCCTTCCCAGGAGGGTTCCTGTCCCTGGACCGGGAACGAGAGTGGGGCCGCTTCTCCCTGGACCTGGCCCTCTTGTGCTCTCTGGACCTGGAGGCCGAAGGAGAGCGGGACCTCCATTTTCTCCTCTCCCTTGATCGTGAGCGGGAGCTCCTCCTGTCTCGGGGCCGGGAGCTCCTTTCCTTTTTCTCATAGCGCTCGAAGCTCTTCTGTCTCCGATGCTTATGCCTCCGGGCTCTCTCGGGGCTGCTGGAGCGCGAGCCCTCTCGGCCTCGGCCGCGGGAGCTCGACCTCCTCCTCCTCTTCTTGCGGCTCTCGCAGACCTCGTAAGAAGAACTGCCGGGGCTCCCTGAGCGCGAGCGGGACTTTCGGCGGTCCCGGGACCACGGGCCCTTCCTCTTCTCCTTGGCTCTCTTCTTCTTGGCTCTGTCGTGGCTGCTGGAGCGGTCGCTGGATGACCTCCGTGGCTTGGCCTTGAACCGGTGCTTTTTGGCATAGTCCTCTTCGACTGACCGGGAAGTGGACCGTGAGCTTCTCTCCCGGGAGTGAGACCGTGAACGAGAGTGGGACCGAGTTTTCTTGTGCTCCTTGGTGGACGTTTTTTTCCGCCTGGCTTTCTTGCGGCTGCGTGAGCTCGAGTTGGAGCGAGACCGAGAAGGAGAATGAATCTCAACAATTCTGTGGGTGGTGGCTGCCGGTTGGGCGGCCGCCGCCGCCGCCTCCTCCTCCTCCTCCTCCACCTCCTCTTCGGAAGGTGAGGCTGGTTCGATGGTCACACATGTCACGGTCCGCTCCTCAGCGGCAAAGAAGGTGCTGCGATGCTCACGCCCATCGGCCTCCAAAGGCATCCGCTCTGACAGGCGCCGCCGGACAGTGGTGGACACACAAGGGCTGTTCCCGGGCTCCTCTTCCTCCATCTTCTCCAGGTCAGATGTGCCTGTGGAGATCCGCTCAGGATGGCTGGAGGATGGCCCATCAGATGGGTCAGAGCCTGACCCAAAGACATTCTCTACTGTGTATGAGGTCACACAGCGGACAGTCTGGAAGGCTGGGACCTTTGGACTATCCACAGAGATGGTGCGGGTGATCTCGGAGGGCAAGAGCCCCGCACCAAGCCTTTCAGGGCTGCTGCTGGGGGAGCTCGAATCTGACCCTGTGGGGTCAAAGGGGTCGTAGATCTCGCTTTTGATCTGCTTGGTTTTCTTGATTGAGAAGAGGGGTGAAGGGTTCTCCTTACGCTGGACCTTATTGTCAACTGGCCGGAAAGTGTTACAGAAGCCAGGGTTTGGGAGCCTGCTGGTGTGTGCCGTATTCCCTGGGATGTTAATTCTAAAGCTTTCAAAGGAGGAGCCCAGACCCTTGCCTCGAGATGGCCCAAATGGAGCGAGGCTGCTGTGGGAGCCTGGGCCACCGCTGCTGGTGCAGGAGCTGCCACCACCACCGCCACCGCCCCCTGAGTGCATCCTGGTCTCCTGGGAGTCGCGGCCGCTGGGCCTGGTCTCGACGCGGCCCCCTCGGGCTGGCTGGCCGCTGCCTTCTCGGCCAGTCAGCCGGTTGATGCAGGAGCTGGGGATGTCTGCGCCCTGGCCACCGGCGGGCTTGGAATCCACATGGCCATCACTGCCACTTCCACCTTCTCTCTTCATCTTTGGTATCCTGGGAAGCTCTGAGATGTCGATCCTCCTAGGAGCTGGTGGGAGGGGCTGTCCTATCGCTGTCCTTTTCAGAACCTTAGGGGACTCAGACATCACTGACACAGGACGCTTATTTTCTCCATTAAGCTGAGGCGTTTCATTTGGTTTTAAACCCAGTTTGTTCCTATTTGCCAAGTTCTGTGTCTGAACTGGGCGAGGGGTCATTGAATATTCTAGTTTCACAGCTTCCCTTCCGGGCACACTTGAGGAAGGGCTCACAGACTTCTCCAACCCCCTGAGGCAGGAAGAGGAGGAAGCCGAGAGCGCACTGGGGGCGGCCCCCCCACCGGAGTTCAAGCCCAAATGCTCAGAAACCTCTGAGCTGAGGCGGGCGGCTGAGGTCCCTGACTGCAAGGTCCTGGGCTGGACACTACCCCTGCTCCTGGCCTCTCCATCTTCCTGGGACTTGGCAGTCGAGGTTCTCTGCAAGGAAATTGGAGCTGAAAGAGAGAAGATGCAAAGGGGGCCGCTGACCACTCACTTGTCAACACTCAGGAACTCACTTGATCGCGTTCACTCTCAACTCTGAGCACTGTTCACTCGTGCCCAGACTGGACGACCTTCACCAGGGGTCCTCCAGACAGAGCCAGGCAAGTGACCCCATGTGCATCCTCTGAGATCAGACTTACAACCTGCTCCAATCCCAAAGTCCTCACCACTTTCCTGAGCCCCTGAACACTTGCAATGCTATCCCACCCCTCACAACCATTTCAATGCTGTCTGTCAGCAGTGGTTCAGTTCCTGCCTTGGAGTGTCCTTGGCCCACACCTGGCTACACAAGGCAGCCACAACTGCCTCCAGGCTGGCTTCCAGCTCAAACTGACCAGGTCTTACCTGCCTTCCGGGCTGTGAGGGAACCATCTCGATTGATGACCACATCTGAGCCACTCATCATTAAGAAATTCTGCCCAGACAATATGCTCCCCAAGAGGTCTGGGACAGGAGCCACCTCCACATCTTGCTCAGGAACCGAAGCAGGAACGCTCCTCCTGAAGTCATAAAGAGAAGAGAATTCATTGCTGCCAGCACCCTCCCGAGACCCAGACACCCTGTGAATGCACACGGTGGTCTGGATGACCTTCACTGCCTTCTGTCCACAACTGGCAAAGAATCCACCTCCCTAAAACACATGCTGCCACCCCCCCCAACCCCGGCCCAAGTCCAGCAGCGGTCTATCACCAATGCCTGCTGACAAGTAACCCCAAATAGGGAAGGTCAAAGGAGGCTCATCTGAAGGCCGGGGGAGAGGAGGGCACCATGACAATAGCCTCATTTGGTCTGGTGCCCTGTCCAACTGGTCCCATCCATAACTGTTGGCATGCCGGAGGGCAGGGCCTGGCACACAGGAGTTGCTTAATCAACACTTGTTTCCCTCCCCGGCGCTGCCTCCCTCTAGATCTGGTCCAGCTTATCCCCAACATTCTTTCTCGTCTGTGGTACCAGGGCAGCAGCCAGCGGGATCTCCTCTGGCTGTGTTTTCTGGACACTGGCTCATCCTGGATTGTGGTTAACCAAACTTCCCCAGACCTATCACAGCCCAATTCCAACTCTAGCCATGCCTGTCCCACCTTGTCCTGACAGGGCTGGTTTTTTAAAGCCAAGGCTAGACTGTACTTCCTTTCATGGGATCCCTGGTCATTTTACACTGTGGTGCTCAGGACAAGCAAGGAATTGCAAAGCAATGCCCCTGAGGCTGGCCTGGGATCTGGGGCAAGGCCAAGATCTCCCCAGCTGGCCAGTGCCAAACTGTCTGCACCATGGGCTTCTCTTTAGGACTGAGAACCACCCCTTTGTCGATGAGGGTCTGGCGACCAAGGACAGGGATCGTGTCAAGTCAGCCCTTGGTAGAGCAAAGGTAAAAGGAGCCGCTCCACCCTACCCCAGGACTGCTCCTCCAGAAAACTGGGCAGTGGATGAAGCGCAGCTCCCCATCATCCTAGCGGAGACTGAAAGGCCCGAGAACCTCCCCCCAAGCCACCGGAGAAGATGAACAAGCCCCATTCACTCAATCTACCAGAGAAGTGGGACGATTCCACCTCTGACACTATCGGGATCTCCAGAGTACCCTTCACTGGGGGCACCAGCTCGGCCCCTTCCTCCTAGTCTGCTTTGTGTGAGGATTGGGGGCGATTCCAGGGCATGTTTGGAAGCACCTGGTCCATTCTGTGAGGGTGTGGTGGGAACTAGGCAACAAGGTCCACACCTCTCCTGAGGCACCATGGCAGGTGTGGACAGAGGGAGGGCACCAGTGTCCAACAGCACAGCTTGATTCCTTTGCCTTTGTGGATTATGATCCTCCAGCTAAGCCTCACTCTGTGTTAACAAGAAGTAGGACTAAGGGAAGCAAAGATGGGCAGCTGGAGGAGTCCCCACGACTGTGGGAGGGCTAGTTGAGGAAGGCAGCCTTCCTCATATGCTCTTCAGTTCTCCCCCACACAGACCTCTCCGAGGCAGCCATCACCACCGCACTGCGCCTGCTGTCCCAGAGGGGGTGGGGGTGGCAGCGTGCTTGTCAGGCTAAGGACACAGCAGAACTCATTCGGGGGAACCCAGTGCTACGTCCACCCAGATGGACTGTGCACAGGGACGATGGGCTGGGCCGAGCACTGTGCACAAAGAGGTGGCAAGGGAGGCCAGGCTCTCCATATCCTCAAATCTCCCCCTGAAGCACATGCCTGCCCTTTCCACATGCACAGGCTCAGGGATGCTGCTAAGCCAGGAGTCTTCAATACTAGTGTCCAAAGAGCTCGGAGACGCCCAGGGTCAGTGTGACCAACAAAGAAAGGTGCTGGGAAAGGACCTCCTTCGAGAGACGGGATCATGAAAGGATGGGGTAGGGAATGGCAGAGGAAGCACAGCCCTCAGCGCTGCCTTGGGGGGAGGGGTCTCCACAGTCTGCTCTGGTGCGCCATCCCATTTTTGTAGGTCTTGTCCACCTTTCTGGCCTCGAGTGCTCAGAGGCCTTCTCTTCCTGTCTGCCACATGTACGCTATAAATCCAACAGGACAGGGGTGGCTAGGTGGTGCAGTGGATAGAGCATTGGCCCTGAAGTCAGGAGGACCTGAGTTCAAATCCGGTCTCAGACCAAACACTTGACTCTTACTAGCTGTGTGACCCTGGGCAAGGCACTTAATCCCAATTGCTGGGGGGAAAAAAAAGAGAGATCTCCAAATCCAACAGGACATGCCTGGCACCCACACCAGCCGGCCCCTTCCAGCCTGCCATGGACCCTCTGTTCTCTGTCGTCCTTGCCTTGTCCTTTCTGATGCTCCTCTGCTTGAGGACAGGCTCTCCAGATGCGGCGCAGGGACATCCAAACCTAAACCACGCTTCCCCCAAAGGGCGGGCTTTGCCTTCCCCTTGTGCAGCGGCTCCACACGAGGGTCACTAGGAGCTGGCTCTGGCCAGCCTCAGACACGGGGCAAGTCTCCTGGACTATGCCTCAGTCCCCTCATCTGTAAAACGGGGACAAAGACAACACCTAGAGCCCAGGGCCCCAGGTATGAGGCCCAAATGGGATAATACTTGTAAAGGACTTAGCCTAGTGCCTGGTACATAGTAAACACTTTATAAACGTCAGCAATCATCATGGTGATTGTTATTCTGCTACTGGGCCAGAGGTCCACAGGAGGGTGCTGCTGGAGCCAAAATGAACCAGCTAGCAAGGGCAGATGACTACATTCTCATCGTAAGCGTCTGCACCCAGGAACTGGCCGATGCTTGAAAATCGGGCTCTGATGTCCGGCTGCTGTCTGGACTTTAGCAGGTGCCCGCGTTCTGTACACATCCTCCCCAGAGCGGGGTTCTCAGACTCAGAGGCAACAGACCAAAGACGTGGAAACGAATTATAACGCACGATGACGGCGCTTTATAAAAGTAGGCAGCATGAGGAGTCCCCTCTGCTCCCGTGCCCCAAGAAGAAGAGGGACGCAGGCTGGGGCGCCAGCCCACACCAAGGCTGCCTAGAAGCAGCCAGAAGGTGGATGAGAGCCACGCCCCTCCCCAAGGCTTGCTAGCTTCTGCCACCAACAAACAGCTGGCTGGCCAGGTGGAGTGGGAGAGGGCGGGAAGGCCTCAGACAACTTCCTGCTTCTTTCTCCTTCCTCTAGGAGTCAGTGGGACTGCTCCCTCTCTCTTACCCCCCAAACCCAAGAGGGTGCCAAGGCCTGTTGGCGCTGCCCCTGCCCCCAGTGCAGCCCCTCAGGTGTGGACACCATAAGAGCTACTGGGAGGGGAGGGGCCTGCCCACCTCCTCTGACCCTGGCCCCCCAACTCGGTGCCCTCCAGGGTCAAATACAAAACGCTGTCTCATCCCTTCTAGTCTCCGGCCGCTCCTCAAACCAGACCCTCCACCTGTCAGCTCCTGACCTTCTCTCTGTCTGGATCCCTGTCCCTCCTGTGCTCTACGACCTTCCTGGCTTCCTTTAAGTCCCAACTAAAGTCCCACCTTCTACGGGACGTCTTTCCTGATCCCCCTAAATGCACTCATCTCTCCTACTTCTCATGAGCCTCTCCGTGGCTGGTTTGTGTCCTCCCAATAGAGCATGAGATCTTCGAGGGCAGGGGCTGTCTTGTCTGTTTTTGTATCCTCAGTGCTTGGCACAGGTGCCTGGCACATAGTAGGTGCTTTGCCAAATGTTTGCTGACTACTAACTATGAGACCTTAGGCAAGTCACTCAACCAGCTTGCCTCAGTTTCCTTAACTGTAAAATGGAGATAATAGCACCAACCTACGAGGGCTGTGGTGGGCACTGAGCTGCCACAGAGTAGGCGCTGTCTTCCTTCCGTTCCCCTTACCTGGAAAGTCCCACAGAAATGGGTCTAGCCACGGGTTGATGAGACCTGAGGGCTGACTGGGAAAGAATTCGCCTCTTGGTGCTCAGAGGAGATGCCTGGTTTGCTGGGAGCTCTTCGCTAATGGAAACACACAGGGGACAGAAGAAATGATAAGTCACCAGGCCTCAGGGCCTAGCAGTCCCTACCTGACCAAGGGGCCTGAGCTGCAGCCACAGGGCACTGCCCTTCCTGGACGCCCCCAGGATGAGGCCCCGCCCAAGATCCCATTTAGTCTGGGACCTGGCTTTTGGAGCCTCCACGGGACAAGCCTCATCCTAAGACATCTCGAGGCACGGCCACTCAGGTGACAACGTGACCTGGAGAGACATAGCCCGAGACAACCTTCACCTTCCACATCCTGGACCCTGTGCGCCAGCCTTGTGGAATGTCATCCCCCTGCCAGCCGGCACTGGTTTGATGCCTCAGGCAATCAGCCAAGACCCCTCCTAATCATCTGGCCCCCAAGGGCAAGGGCAGGTCTCCTTCTCTCTCCATCAATTAGCCCTGGCCCGCATCATGCCTGCCTGTTCCTCGTTTTTTTGGCAATGGCTAGCCTGCCAATGACGGTCTTCATCCAAATCATTCAAAAAAAATGTCGAAAAAGAACAGAAAAGGGAAAAGGCCACAGCTTAGAGGCTCTAATGGCAACGAGAACGTGAAGGGAAATCTCAGCCTGTCTAGAATGAGGGGCCACGGGACAGGAAAGTGCTCTCCACACGTGTGAAAGGCTGCCAGATGAAAGGGGCTTTGCTCTCTCCCGCCCTGCTCCGGAGGGTACCACAGGGGCCCAGGGAGTTACAGAGAAGGGCAGAACTGTTCCCAGAGGTCTGCTCCCCAGAGGCAGAATCTTGCCTGAGTCTGGCTTGGCCTAGATGCCAGCTCGGAGATTCCGTGAGGCACAGGAGAAATGCCTTCACCAACAACCAGCTCCTGAGCGACCAAAACGGGGCAATCTCCATTATCTCCACAATATCACTAAAGAGGCAGCTGACGTGTGGACTTCTGGGTTACTGCCACGTGTAATGTCAGGGCAGAGGCCCAAGCCTGTCCCGGTCTGTAGTCACCAGCATGGTGAGGACTACCATGATGCAAGCCCAACCCAAGAGGGAACTTCCTGGCCCTAGGCCAGGCCTCTCCTGGTTCCCCACTCCCACCCCCGCCCCAAGCCAAGATCCTTCTGGGTCTCTGAGGGGAGTGAGCTGGTCTGTACCTGTCATAGGGGTCTAGCTCATAAGGATCTCCAAACAGAGACAAGGAAGCTGCTCCGATGTCTGCTCGCATGAAGCCCAGGGAGGGCTCGACTGGCTTGTACACAGAAGGGATGGAGGCACCACGCAGGGGTTTCCCGAGGCCCAGCGTCCTGGCGATGCGAGAACGAGCGGTGATTTCAGTTTTAACCTAATCCATGAACAAGAAAGAAAAGCCAAGTAGGTCAAAGCAGGCATGGGGAGAGGGTGGGCCAGAGTGGGCCAGCAGGCATGGACAAAGCGGACAGGCCCTTCAGAGCCCGTGGGAGCTGGATTTGCTCAGGATTCCTCCTCCTGGGCTGGACACTCCCTGAGCCGCCCAGGAGGCTGGGTCCTGGAGGAAGACCCCGCAGAGAGCCTGGGCCTCAAGTCTTAAGAACCCTCTCACCTCCCTGCTGAGGGAGAAAAACAGAAAAACATGCCACCCCCCCCTTCCCCCCATTCCCATGGGAGGCTCCAGCAGCCCTACAGCTGAGGGGTGCCCCTCCTTTGACATTCTTGGCCCTAAAGCAGTGAAGAAGGCTGAGGGGTCGGGCCCCGATGGTAGGCAGGCCTGTTCTGGCATTCCAATGACGAACACAAAAGCAGGTTTGGGGTTGTACACAGTAACAGCCACGTTGTGTGATGACTGACTTTGACTTTGATATAGATTCAGCCCTTCTCAGCAATGCAGGGATCTAAGACATTTCCAAAGGCCTCGTGATGGAAAATGCCATCCACATCCAAAGAGCGAGCCGTGGAGTTTGAATGCAGATCGAAACATACTATTTGCTATTTTTTTCTTCTGTTTTGTTTTGTTTCCTCTTTGTGGTGGTTCCTCCTATTGGTTCTAATTCTTCCTTACAACATCGCTAACGTGAAAATATATTTAATAGGAATGTATGTGTAGAGCCTACATCAGATCGTCTTGGGGAGGGACGTGGGGAGGAAGGGGAAGAAAACTTTAAAACTCAAAAGCTTATGGAAATAATCGTTGATAAATCAAAATAAATCAGTAAGAGTAAATAAACAAAAGCAGCCCTGGGGGATGGACTCGCCAGCCAGGCCTGGTCAGCTCTCAAGGACAATGGGCACATACCCGACTCCCCTGCCCTTTCCTTTTCTTTGCTCGGGACTTGCGTCTCTTGGGCCGTGTCCCCAAAGTCTTGCTTTGTGCCGAGGATTTGGATGATGCTCTCTTTTTTCTGGACGCTTTCTTCCTTCTCCCTGAAGAAATGAGATCCAAAGACAGGGATTCGAGGCTGACAGAGCCAACGGCGGAGGGGCCAGCCTCTAGGGAGAGCCCACGCGGCAGGAGCAGGGTGACCTCTGGGGGTGCTCAGAGCAGATGCAGGGCCCATGCTGGCTCCTGACCAGGGCCACTCAGCGGACAGAGGAGGGGGCCCTTCCCCTCATGGGGTCACACCCCAGCTCCTTGGAGCACCCACAGTGGGGTTCCTTCATGCCCAGGGAGACGCATGGTTACCTACTGAAAGCCCACAATGCACAGCACTAGAGAATGCCATGCTGGGCATGCCAGGGCGCCACCTCCCAGGGCCCCCTAGGCCTCCTTACCTGTTCTCCTCTTCCGTCTGACTGGGGCCCTAGGAGTCAAAGGTCGGTGATACACAGCAGTGCTCAGGCCAGAGGCCACAGCCTCGATGGTCTCATCCAGGAGGGACGACATGAGGTACCTGGGCACCCGCTACAGGAGAACGAAACAGAGGCCCCATTATAGCTGCATTCCACAGCAGGACTTCTTGGGGGACCCCCCTCACAGCTTCTGGAAGGCTGATGCTGCCCCCCGGACCTCCACCCCAACCAGGGCCCACCTTTCTCATCTAGAAAAAGGCACAGACCACCAAGGCTACGTCGAGAGCAGCCCAGGAAACGCCTTGAGGAATAGACAGGATACAGAGGCAGGAAATCAGAAAAAAGCCCCTGCACGGTGAGTCCAGACCACCAAATAAAAGGAACAGACGTACTTATGAGGCTCTGAATCTGAAGACTGTCCTAGATACTGCCTATCAGCTAGACCCTGAGCAAGTCACTGACTTTCCTCAGCTGTAAAATGGGTCATGAGAACCAGGTGTCTGTGCCTCGGGCTCTGCCTGGCCTGGCAGGCCCACCCAGCTGCTCACCTGAATCCTCTGGGCAGTGGAAATCCGGTTTCGGTTCACGGTGGCTCTCACCCTCTCACTCTGGCGAGTCCTGGCGATAGCCCGAGTGCGACCTGCGTTAGGGCGCAGCCGGCTGGTGGTGGGGACCACATCAACCAGGAGCAAAGCCACCTCCTCCTCACTCACAGGCTCCGCGTCTTGGGGAGAAGAGAGGCCATCACTGGCCCATTCACTGGCCCCAGAGCCCCCCACAAATGGGATGCAGCCTTGGGGAAGCCTCTGGGGCTGGAAGAAAGCAGCAGAGAGCTGTGAGCCCCTCCCTCCCCAACCCTGGAGCCTGCGTCCCATTCAGGCTGCTTCTGTGGCCACGTGAGTCTCCCCACGGGCCAGCCTGCACTGACCAGGCCAAGGGGCGAGGGCACAGCGGGCCAGAGGATTACCGGTGGCAGCAGCAGGGGGTGCTGCTGGGGCAGCTGTGGCAACGCACTCGGGACAGAACCACTCGTCGACAGGCACCTCGCTCAGAGAGGGGTTCAAACACTCCATGTGGTACCTGTGGACACAGGACGAGGCCGTGAGCCCAAATGGAGGAGTCAGATGGGGCAGAGCTGCCACCCCCAGGCCACACCCCTGGGTTTGAGGGGCCTCTGGGATTCACCCTTCGCTGAGCCAGTGGCGCACCAAGTCAGAAAGGGTTTTCCCACCGTGGTCCACTGCGGACAAACCTGTTTCAGTCACAAATTCTGCCTCCGACGGTACAGCAGCTGTGCAAACCTGGACAAGCGCCTCCCCTCACTTGGCTCACCTGCTTCTGAGGCCCCCGAGCTGCCCTGAGCCCAAGCCCAGCTGGCTGAGGAGGATGCTCAGGACGGGCTGTGGCCACGTCACTCAGGGGGCCACGTAGTAAGACAGCTTCCCAAGGGAATTTCACTCTTGCGAGGCTATTGGTTGACCCTACCATTTCCCAACCAAGATGGCAGATGTGAATCCACGGTGTTCTGAAATCTGGACAAAGTCACCCAGACTAGTCCCACGGGGCTAGACCGATGAGCCCCCACAAGCTGCCCTCTGTGTCACTCTGCCTCCCCCCTCCATCTCCACCCAGGCTTTTGATTCAATGGAAACTCTCGGACAGCAGCCCAGGAAATGCCTTGAGGAACAGACAGGATATAGAGGCAGGAAATCAGAACGCAGTAAACCTGACTAGACAACAGGGCGCCAGTGGAAAAGGCAGGCCAGGCCTTGAATGCTACAAAAAACACTGAAGAGAGGCAGCTAGGTGGTGTAGTGGACAGAGCACCGGCCCTGGATTCAGGAGGACCTGAGTTCAAATCCGGCCTCGGACACATAACGCTTACTGTGTGACCCTGGGCAAGTCACTTAACTCCACTGCCGGACCAAAACAAGCAAGCAAACAGACAAAAAACACTAAAGAGAGAATAATCTTGTGCAGGCCAGATCTGCCAGTGGACACTGAGCTGGGGTGAGAGGGTGCCCTCAGGAACACCCCTGGCTCTCCCGCCAGAGAGGTGGGCGGCCACTCTCGGGCCCGACACTCACCCAGCATCACAGCCATCACAGAGCAGCAGCCGATCCTCCTGGTCGCTCCGGCCGCACACTTCACAAAAGGTGGGGTCTTCCTCATCCTCCTCGGCACGAGGAGCCTTCTGACTCTCCACAGGAATCTGACAACGGACGCGGACATTCTCGGTCACCCAAACGCGGCCCCAGGCTCTCTGAGCCTCACTCTGCCCATCTGTGCTGCCAGCTCTGTTCAGCTTAGCTGTACTGTAGGCACTGATGCCACCTCTGGTGTCCTTGGTGCCCGGCACAAGGGAGGGATTGGTTGATAGTTCTCCCAGGTCCATCACCGCACAGAGGGACACTGAGTCAGAACTCTCCCACTCTAGCATCACACAGGTTTGACCGCGGACACGTTGGCACTTACCTTTTTTAAGACCTTGCCACCAAATCTTGCCCGGATGCAAATCCACTTAAAGAGAATACGGTCCACAGGACAGGAATTGGCATTCTATGGGAAGTGTGCAAAGATGTGACGTCAGGCCTCCCTGCCTGGCAGCATCACGCCCCTATGCCACGCAGCCTGCGGGGCCCTCCGTACCTTAGACCACTCCACTATGCAGTCGAGGCAGAAATAGTGGGCACAGTTCTCAGGGGTGCCCACCACCTGGTCCCTAAACACGTTGAGGCAGATGGGACAGCTCTCGGCGTCCTCGTCAGAGCTGATGCCCCCCCTGGCTGGGAGAACTGGCCGTCCTTTGGGAAGCTCCAAGGCAGCTTCCAAAGACACCTCCATCTCCTGGTCATCCACGGAGTCATCGTCTTCAGAACTGTCCCAGTCTAGGGAAGGACAAAGCAACGCTCACCAAGAGCTGCCCACAGTGGGTCCGGTCTCTCTGGCTGAGCTCCCACCAGGACCCTAACCCTAACCCGAGGCCTGACCCCACCTGTTTCTGCACCTCTCCTCCCGAGTCGCCCTAACCCGTGTGGGGCCATGCTGCGCTCTCTCCTACCACTGCACCCAAGCCCACCTTTGGGTCTCTGGAGCCCACAGATCCCATGGGGAAACCTGGGTTTTTAGAGTTTCTGGACGCTGGGGCCCTGGTTCTCCCCAGACCCAGCCCTGGGAGCCTGGCGGCTTCTCGGGTCACCTCAGTAGATCCACCTGCCACACGTGGCAACAGCCCACCCAGGCCCCTGTTCAGCCCGGGTTTCGGAAACCAAAGCCCTCCCTCCTGAACCCTTTAAACAGTGCTGTGATGCGCAGCACCCCCACCCCAAACCAGCGCCGGGGCTACGGGAGACCAGCTCCTTTAGAGGTTCCAGCCAGGGCCCAGGACAAGGGCTCCCCTCCCGGGAGGGGGGGCGGCATGTTTGTGCCCCCTGGGTGCCAGGGGCGGGTCCAGGTCGTACCCGAGCCTTCCTCTCCCTCCTCTTCCCCGGCGTCTCCGTCTTCTTCGCTCCCGGTGTCCTCCCCAAAGTCTCCGCTGGGCCCGGCATCGCTGCTGTCACCTGGACAGACACGGACGCGCTGACCGCACTGCCCGCTCCGGCCCCGAGACCGTCCCGGGCGCGGCCCCTCGCCCCTGCCCCAGACCTCACCTGCCTCGCTGAGCACCCGGCCCCTGCTCCGGCCCCCTCGGCCGCGGGCCGCCGCGTTCCTGTAGACGAGCTCGTCCTGACTGTCGTCATCCATGACTGGACATCGGGGGCGGCTCTGCGGAGATGCCGGGCTTGAGCTCCCCCGCCGCCCCCCTCCACGCCTTAGCCTCCTCCTCAGCCTTCGCGGACACACCGGGGAGCCGACACCGGCGACCGGCCGGGCCGGACCCCGGGTTCGAGTCCTGTCTCCTGGCCCCCAAAGCACGCCCCGGGGCGGGGGAGGTCGCCTGGCGGGGAGCCTCGGCCCCGGCCCCCACCCCCCACCCTGGGCCGCCTGGCGGAGCTGAGGCCTGCAGCCTCCGCGGCCGCGCCGGCCCGGGCTTGCCGGCGGGCCTTTCTTCTCCAGGCCGGGCCCCGCGGCCGGCGCAGCCCCCTCCCCCTCCCCCTCCCCCTCCTGGGCCTCCCCGGGCCGGCGGGGCCACGCGCGGAGGCCGGCACTCACCGACCAAGGCGCTGCTCCGGCTCCGCTCCGCCCTGCTGCGGTTCAGGTCCGACCTCGGCCCCGGCCCCGGCTCCGGCTCCGGCCCAGCTCTCGCCGCCGAACTAGGCCCCGGCCGCAGCCGCCCAGATCCCCGCCGTCGCCGTCGCCGTCGCCGTCGCCGCCAGCGCGCTCCCGACCCGGAAGCACACTGGTCCCACTTCCGGGGAGGTGCACCTCCGCCCTCGCCACCCGTTGGGCGGATCCATGAAGACGAAGAAGGGGGGTAGGCTCGGCGGAACAACAAAGACCGTGGGCTTCGCCGGACTGGAGCGTGGCGCAGGAGCCCCGACTTTGCCTGGGTTTCGTAGTTTTCCGAGAGGAGCCACGGCAGGGAAATGCCGCGAAGGAGCGTCGCCCGTCAAAGATTCGGCCTTCAATGGCTCCCCCTCTTCCTGGTAGAATGGTCCGGACTGCGCTGGGCGGTGTCCCCCTCTACGGAATGGCACGGCCCATCTCATCCTCCCGCACCCCCTTGGAGAAATGGCACCGGCCACTTCGCGCTCTCGCCCCCTCCCTTCGCCTCCCGCCTGGCGGGGCGCTTGCGCAGAAACGAGAGGGCGGGCCGGGGTGTTCAGAGCAAGTCTTCCTCTAGACCTGGAGAGGGGAGAGAAGGAGG